GAACCCATTATAGATTCTATAAAAGAGTGGCCTGTACTCGTGGACACAACAAAAAAAGTTTTGAAAAATTCTTTTCGAGATGATCAATATAAAACTGAGTACCGAGTTTTAAAAAACAATTTTTAGAAATGAAGCACAACAGTGAAATAATCCATTCACGAAACACAGGTATATAAAGCAGGTAAATATGCTTCCAGGTTACAAAATTAATCACAAGAATTCAATCAACAGAATTCACAAATAAGCAACCAAGCAATAACCATGCATAAACCGGTAAGGATACCAAACCTAACCTAACGGAGAGTTTGGAATAATCTTACCAAACTACTGTTGACAAACAGTAAATATACCACCAAGTTTCTGAACTAAATTGCCGTAGACGTCAAGGTAGGGGCAAAATCGTCCAACTTTTTTTGTAAAATCTGAAACAAAAAACAAACGACATCAGTGCGTTTAGGACGTCAAAATGAGTAAACTGCCCGAAAAAAGATCGCCGGAGGTCCGGCCACCCGCCGGAGCCGCCGCCGCCGCCGCCGGTCACGTGCCCCACCACAGGGTGCGCCTCCTCCTGCTGGTCATGGTTCCATGGTCCATTTCGCCGGAAAGTCAATCGGTTGGCCGGAAATCAAGTTTTTCAGATTCGGTTAGAATGTGGAATGGTGATTTCTTGCTGGTTTTTGATCGATTTTTGGATTAATATCACTCCTCCTAGCTCTGATACCAGTTTGTTGGGGATCCTAGGAGTTTAAACAACCAAAACAACAATCAACAAACAAGATTCAAGTCAAAATAAAGAAAAACAGGAATGGAAAAATACAACCCCTTTATTCTGCCCATTTTTGTCCAGCTTCTTCTTCTTCTGCCGGTAGCTTCTTCTTGGATTTATGGGTGTTTTTCCAGGCTCAGGAACAGCCCCATGCTATGCCAATTGCCTTCCAAAGAGAGAGGGGAAAAAACCAATGAAGAACCACCACCCTTTTTAATGAAAAACTGAGAGCTCCTACTGCTGCTGCTGGGAATACCCAAAAACGAGAGCTGCCCCCCTTTTATTTGAAAATGGTAGAGCGTACATAATGAAGGGGTAGGAAGAAAGACCATGCCTCTGCCAAAAAAGGGAAGACCTTATTGTGTCAACCTCACTCCCATCAACTCACAACATTGGGTGGTGGGGTTAGGTGAACCATATCCTCACAGCATCCTGAAACTCAAATAATAGCATGATTTCTAGTTGGCGTACTCACTTTATGTATGTTAGAATCTTGATGGCCACTTAAATATTAAGTAAAACTTTTGAATAACTTTAATCAGCTCTAGAGATCATTTGTTGATATAATGGTTGTTGAAAAGATTCAGATAATTTATTAGTTACAAGTTAATGATACGAAGACAATTACACAAGTACATGGACTAATCAATCTTAGCTCCATATATCATATGGTAGTTGGTTTAAGGAAATTTGGGAAAATAAGCCTCAAGGGTCAACTTTAATTATTTGATATTAAATTAGCAACATAATTGTAGTTTTGTCTTGGCTATATACATTTCACTTCTTTAAAGCCCAAAGGTCTTCGCTGTGATTTGAGTTTATATAAAAAGGTGGAATATTTTAATATACCCTCCCAGTCATTATCAATGTTTTGAAAATCGGATTAGACTGTCTAATTCAACTGAAAAAATTAGGAACCAGTCTCAAATTTGGTCCAATCCTAATATATTAATCGAAAATGAAAAAACTGGTAAATAACCTATTGAACCAGCCATTTAACTGGAACTGGACAATCAATCACTATTTTTATCGATTAACAAGGGTTTTTTTTCCAAAAATATCAAAATAAAAGTTTACTTTGATAAATGGGCTCAAGTATTGGCAAGTGCAATTTTACCTTCAATCCAATCCAAGTGTTGTTTTTAAAAGAGAAAAGTCATATAAAATTTTCTTCAACTTTCAATGTGGGATAAGTTGTGTATCATTTTACAATTTATATATTTAATAATTGTTCACTTCCTTCTTTCTATTAAACAAATTCCCCCCCCCCCCCCACAAAAAAAGCACAAATAATTTCAATTCTAACAAAGCAAATTATTTTAAACACGTTAATCATTAGTTTTAGAAGTTTTAAAATAAACTATAGGATAACAAATCTAATTAACAAATTGTTATATGAAAAAACTCAAGATCAACACAAAGTACAAATCTCAAACAAATGACCATAGCATCAAGATCTCATAGATTTTGGGCTCAGATCCACCATGTACCCATCTGTACAAAGGTTGAATCTCACAAGAACCGGCCCTAAGACAAGGAATACAAAGGCAGTCACTTCAATGGTCCCAAGTTCCCAACCCAAACAGAAAACTCTTTCCAATTCGCAAAAAATATATATATATATATCACCAAGATTCCTCACTCACAAAGTGACCAAAAAACCAGAAGTTTAATGGCCAAAGAACAAGGTTCACAAAGAAGATGAAAGGGAAGACACACAGTCAATTGAGAGAGAGAGAGACCCAGAAGCTTCTCAAAGAAGCACACAAAGAGGCAAGAGAATAAGAGAGTGGGATTCAGTCAAAAGTCTCAGACTAAGAATATTTATATAGGCAAGGTCATCACTGTAGATCATAGGGTTAGGAAATCTAACGGCCCAGAGCTACACATGTGTATTACCAGAGTTTGGGCTGGGTTATAAGGAGTCCAACTCAATGCGTTATTGGGCAAGGGCTAGAGTATCTACATTTTCAACCATTTATCATCATAGCCAAAAGTGGGCTGGTCCACCAACTAATTATGGCATCACAGCCCAACAAAATTATTTATTTACATTTACTTTGAATTAATAACACTAAAATTTAAAAATCTGTTGTTATAATATTTAATAGTTTGTTGGAGTATTTATTTATTTAATTTCGATAGCCGGTTCGACCTCGAGTTAACCTCAGAATAACCGTTTGATCCTTGACCCCTTTCGTTTTCCGAGTAGATATTCAAGTCGATTTTTAAAACATTAGTCATTACACACACTTTAGAATAAGGTGGAAAAGGACAGGCTTAGTTTGTTGTTCTTACTGTATAGAATGTCTAAAATGTTCTTCGAAGTTTAACTCGTTTGCAAGGACATTGTAGAGACATCGTCTTAGACAGTGGAACTTGTTGATAAAAATGTAGGGAAATCTGAATACGTCAATGAACTCCAAGGCACGAAAAAAAACGTTATCTTTTAAGAAATTTCTCCCCTATTCAACAAGGTCACAACTGGGGTATGATAGAAAATCTCTCTCAGGATACAATGGAGGCGTTTGATTCAAATTGTGACTATTTGATCAAACCAAGAAGACACTCAAAAATAACTGATTGATGCCAAAAGAAAGAAGGAAGAATAAATTGTTTAATATGTTTGCAAATGAGAATTCGCCCAGAATTTATAGAAACTGAAGCAATTGTTTGAATAGGTGTATCCCTTGAAATCCTTGCGTACATCTATTAGAAGTGACTGTTAAAAATGAACAGATGCACCTATTCAAAAACTTTTGAAAATAAAATTCTCTTTTGGGGGCGTTGCCCCCTCGACCCCAGCAACCTGACCGGGCAGGTCGAATCTCGTTGCGCAGCGGCAAACACTACTCCGGGTGGCAAATCATTCGCAAAACAAAAAATTAAACACATGCAAAATGATGAAAAATATCTAACAGAACTTATAGCCTTGCAAATTTATCCACTTTTCAGTGTACTGAAGATTCTTTTGAGGAAGACAAAATGCTGAATTTGGATCATTTAATATATGATCTTATCATTGTTTTCATTTTAATTCTTTGCAATATATACTGCAGATTTTGTTATGAAATAATTGAATACCTTTTTTTGTCGTTTTGATTCTCTTATTCTTGAACTGGAAATAATAATTCATTGTTACAATCTTGAATGAAAGATCTCTTTTTACAATAAAACAAGCAGCATTATTGAAACGGCTTGCTGTTTTTTTTTTTTTTTTCTCTCTGCTGGCATTGTGCTGGGAAAAGACCTCTCTGGAAATAGACAAAAGAATATAAATTTGACACTGATTTCTCAAAATTTACTTGTGTTGACTACCTTTGGATGAAACCAGCTATACAGCGGATTCTCACACTCGATGCATGTTTGGTATAGAGTACTAGGCAAGAGACGTCAAGACAGTATAATAAACTGAATTTTTACTTAATTTTCTTACTATTTAGTGTTGCGGAATCCTTCCTATTGAAAATGTCTTCACAGTATGGAAGACCTGTATATTTTTTGGCAAACCCTTATACAGATACGATGGTCTCAGTCAAGGAGAGAAAAAATAATCATGGAGCACTTTTGGCGTTTTGAACTTCCATATTGTGGGCTCAAAATCATGTTCATTGGGATTGGTAGATTTCGAATTTCAAATTTACTCAAATTTTTAAGAACTGTAATTTTCAAGATTTTTTTGATCTTCGCATTTCTCCTTTTAGCTATACAGAAATATCATGACTAAACATTATTCACTTAATGAACAAGCTGCTACTGCTGTCAGCTTCCAGATTCAGAAATGCTTTGCAGAGATGGTCGCCATGTCTTAGACCTTGCAGCAGTGAAATTTGTTGATCCCGACTCTTGCCGATGACTCTCGTGTCTCAAGGGCTGCAAAAATGGAGATTATCATTAGTATCATATTATAGAAATTTTTAGTCTCTTGGGTGCAGTTGTGATTTTAGTATCCGATTACATAATCTTTTGTTCCCAATTCGTGTTACTATAAACCTTTCTTTCACCGTGGTCGGCTGCAGAAACCGAATCATCGGATCGAGGATTGAAAAATAGTCAATGGTATTAAGGAACGAAAGAAGTTAATTATACTAATAGTCGTGCCAGTGTATCAAATAGTTTTATAGTTCTTTCAAATCTTTCCGTTATAATCCTTTTGTCAAAAAATCACTAGAAAATATGCCAATCTAGTTTATGACGTTTTATTTCTTTGCCTATAAATTTTATTTATGGACACTGAATATTACCGCTTCATTCTTCTCCCCTGCAGATTTTCCAGTGTCTGATTCGCAGCTACGGCTCTGCATTTCTGAATCCACCGGCGTTTGTTCTGCGGATTCCAGCTGGAGTTTCTTCATTTTCGCATGTTTCTTTGCTCTCAAGACTTTCATAACCTCTGTGAACACGAAAAATTAAACAAAACGTTCAGCTCATGTTTGATCGAGAGGATTGAATAGCACTAAACGGTATTATAGAAGGGAAAAAAGGTATCTAGAATTTCTTGATGTGAAATAAAGCCGATCATGAACTCACCTTGTGTGGTGACAAGTCGATAAGCTCGACCTAGTACCAGAATATCCGTTGGCCGGAGAAGCTTAACGCGAGTAAAGCGCACCGTCTTGTCATCAGAATTCCCTTCTCCTTCGACCGGCAGAGGTATTATAAGAGAAACGTAATGTCCCGGGTTCATTTTCATCACCTCGCTCACCGGCACCGGCCAGTACATTCTCTCTAGTTGGCCATTTGGATGTTGTATCACGAGTGCTGCAGCATCAACAGCTTGACAATTCCCCATTCTCTCTCTGTATCTCTATCTCTCTCTCTAGATAATCAGTTTCTACCTGTAGAAATGCTTATGCAGAACAGAAGAAGAAGATGAAAGAAAGAGATAAGAAGGAAAAGGAAGGAAGGAGGTGAAGCAACCAATGGTCCCTTTCTAACCAGTTAGCCCCTCACCCCTACTACCCTACGCTACCGTACCCCCACTGCACCTCCAAGAATGGTAAATGTATTAGGGATTTTTATAGATATTCAGATGGCAACATTGTATTGGCTGTTGCCCTATATTTTTTGTTCAACAGTCAATTAAGCCTCCGTTTGAGCCCCATTATATTATATTACATTTCATTATATTTTATTTTTCACTATCTCATTTTCAATTACATAATTTTTTATAAAATAATATTACACGTAAATTGAAAACATTTCCTTCTTTTTCAACCTTTCATATTTCAAAAATATATCATTCCTTCCATTTTCATTACCCAAAAATGGGGTCAAACTGGGGCTAAATCTTGACAACTTCTGTCAAAAAATTGTCGGCCAGCTCTATACATGTAGTAGGATTGAAAGGATAAAACTCTTTTCTTAGAAAGGATTTGATAGAAATTTTAATATAATTGCATGTGACAATAAATGATTTGACGGAAAAGCTGTATGTATTTTAAACTATCAAATGATAGAATATCACGTGATATTATAACAAGCTTTATGTAGTATTATTGGAATTGAAAATAGTTCTTCAAGCCAGCCAGCCGTCTCTCCATTCCCCTTACCTCAACCAACTTATGATTAAATGGTACTGTATTATGGTATCAATAATTATAATGATACGAATACATGATGATATGTGTATATCTATTACGTTAGGATCAAGAGGGGCCAGCAATATTGGTGAATCACCACGTGGTTACACGTCAAAGGTGGTCGGCTGGTGGTGGTGATATTTTAGGGGGCACTTCCGGATGTGATAAGATAATCTCGACTTTACTAGTAAAATACCATATTTTTTTAACTTTTACTTATAAGTAAAGGTTTTGTCCTAAACCAAACATGCTCATGTACTTTCATTTTTGGTCTATTTTCTTTAGTTATTCACTAGATCAATTAGCATCTAAAATGTTGATATGGGCAAGTGTTTGGATCTATTCTGACATATCCATGAGGAGTCACGAGGAGTGTGACTAAGTAGTAAAGCATTTTTGTAGCTTTCGATTGATGAAGACATGACCTTTTCCACAACTTAATGTATGATTTAATTGTTTTATCTTTTCTATAGATGATATGAATCATTTTATTTAAGAACATGAGAGCAGTGGGGTCATTGACGGGAATAGAAGGCTTCCCTATTCGAGAAGGCTATACAGAGTAAAAGAAAGGGCGAGAACTCTCATGAAAAGATAATGTCTATTTCGTGTACATACTTTCTTTAAATTTAAATATTCTTATAAATAAGTTAAAAAGCAATTCCTACTTTTACCTTGGTGTCAATCATATTTTACTTTAATTTTTCTCAAAACTAGTTAGGAAGACATTTTGAACACTTTACTTGATCTATTGACGTGAGAAGTATAATTCAATCAACCGTGCTAGACGAACCGCGTGGGCGGTTGACACACATACACACAAGGGGGGAAGTATTTTTTAATTCGGCGCGGGACTCACTCCTCGACTGTGAGGGAGCGGTCAGCCGTTGTTCAACGCTACGAATCGTTTAGCATTTTTCTAATTCAATTACTCTACGAGTTATTTCAGATAAGTCAATTCGATTGGTCAACATTGACCCAATTTTCATTCACTTTGTTTGATCGAAAAGACTTTTAAATTCCATTCCACCTCGAATCAAAAAGGTCCAACTATAATACTCAAATGCAATAAAAGAAAAAAAAATGTTGTTGCGTGGGGATGGTATTAATTAAAGATTCCATTGTGGCTCTACCACCACCTTATACCGCGTTTGGTATGCCCTTAATCTCTTGGCTACACAACCTGACTTATTTTGTATATATGTGGCCATCATATGTTCTTTCCTTATTCATTTACAATCGAATTGACTTATAAATCCACACTGTACAAGTATGGAGTAACTTTCATCTTTAAATAAAACTGGGCAAATAAATCAGTTCCCATTAGGGGAAAAAATGGTTTTCAGAATTCAATTCAGTATTAATTATGAAAAATTGCAGTGGAGGTCTCTAACCTTTGGAAACATGTTCAAATAGGCCTCTAAATATAAATTTCAAATATTGGCCCTTATCTTCTTTTCCTGTTGGTTTTATTCTTAATGATAAAATTGTTTAATTCTACTTATTTTATCATCAGAAACATTGCCTAAACGCCATATATGTGCGAGCTTATTTAATAACAAATTTGATGAAATCTGTCCATAATGGCTTGAATTGCAACAAAGGTTGGGATCCTTAATATATATTATTATTATTATTATTATTATTATTATTATTATTATATATATATATATATATATATATATATATATATATATATATATATATATATATATGTTACTTCTCAAAGAAAAGTTTAAAAAATATATTTAACATAAATTGAACATTATAAATAGTCAAACAAAATTTTATTACGTGTTGTGCCGTTTTATTAAATTAATAATTTATCCATTACATTGCATTGAAATGATTTATATTCGTTTTTTCTTTTCTTTTTAATAATAATTAAAAAAAAAAAGTGACTAGATGTTGCCACCAATATTTTTGTATTTTACTGTTATAAAAATGCGATCTGCCAGAATGAAGATTAGTTTTAAGATGCTTTAATAAAATAATGAACATTATTAAGAACCTTAAACTTTATTAAAATGCTGTCTTTAAGCTTAAGTGATTTGGAATATTTAGTAAAAAGTAAACACTATAATTTTTAATAAAATTATGCAATTATATTATAATATAGAGAATTAATTATGTCGGAAGGTGGCTACATTGTTTCAAGCAAACCCTAGCTAGCTACTTCCAAAATTAAAGAGAACTTAAACGCAAAGCAAATTCAAGCAAGCACTCTTAATTGTTTTGTTTTAGTGTTGATATTTGAGATTATTTTTATACCGTAGAAGACGAGATCGTCAACTTAGCCATTTATTTATTCGAGAAATCATTCTTTTAGTTTGTGTCGAGATAATTTATAAACTACATATTGAAAAACGATCAAAAAGGATAAATCAATTCTAACCTGCTTTCATTTAGCCATTTATTTTTCTTTTTGCAATTTTTAAATGAATTTTTTAGTGAATAAAGGGCAAGTCATGCGTATGAACAAATTGTGAAATTGAACTATTAAAGATTTTTTCCAATATAGTTGTGCTTGTGTAGAAATGGTCCATAACAAATAAATCAAGAAAATATTTAGTAAATAAAAAAAATGAAATTATGTATGAGAAATGTATAAGACGCAAGTACACATATACATACCCACATATGGAGAAAAATCTTAAGCCCCGTTTGGTGCTGATTTTTCAAGCCAAAAAAATCAAAATTTTGACCGTTAATAACATAGTCAGTCGTCATTTTTGACATCTTCACTCACACGTGAGACCTACCTTTCAAGCTAACGGTAAAAAAAATTGATTTTCAGCACCAAACAAACCATAAATCTACTCAAGATATTTTGACTCTTGAAAACAAGATTAGCTTTGCTACAGTGATAGGTTAATGACAGATTTAAAAATAGGGAAATATGTGTCAGTATATGATTGGACAGTTTGAAAAAGAAAAAAAAAAAAAAAAACGACACACACCCAGAGACAACACAATACCCAATCAATTATTGTCACCCAATTTTCTATCAATCACCCGGGCCAAGTAACATTATTAAAACAAGATTCGCCTTAAACTATTGCAAACCCCCATGCTTTGGAATATTTTTCAACTGCGTGATTCACTTGTACTTGTAACCATATCTTATTAATGTGAGTCTACGTAAGCCATGTGAGGTGTTTGTGATCTTAGTTTGAATACATTAAATATGAAATGGACTATTGTCTGTCCAAACATGGCCTAGGCAGCGGACCACTAAACACAGAATTTCTTAAAGGTTGAACTCCAATTTTGAGGGTCCCACCCGCCCTTAGAGCATCGTGAGGGAAGTAAATCACAAAATGTGTCACAATAGACCAGAGAACAAGAGTTTGACCATACAATGATACCTATAAAGAGTCCAATTCCATATCTCAGGAATCGAACCCTCACACTGCGGTTGTCAGTAAAGTTGAAACTATCTCACTCCTGTCATTCGCACCACTAGACTATGTCCCGATGCCACTAAACACGATTTCTTTATTTTATTTCTTTTGGCCATAAGCACTGGCAGCCATTAATACTGAATGCTAATAGTCTTAGTTTCCTATTGTTTGAACAGCTTTTAAGGAAAAAATTATTTTCCACTTAATTTGCTTTTGGATTGTACTAAATGGGGCTACATTAGTTTTAAAACATTTTGAAGTTCTTGTTTGGATTTCTGAAGCTAACAAAAAGTAAGTTTGTTCGGTAAAGTATACAATAATTGGCAATGTTTAAAAAAAAATAAATAAATTTTAAAACATTTTGAAGTTCTTGTTTGGATTTGTAAAGCAAACAAACAGGGACGGATTCAGGATTTTTAAGCGCACGAGCTAAAATTTAAAAGTCAATATAATAAATTTATATTACATTAAAGTCAAATTCATTTGATTTGAAATTGTTCCCGACGAGGTTTAAAAACATAAAATTCGTCTATAATAGAATCTATATCTATCTTTTGAGCAAGTTCTCGTTCGATGAAGAGTGTCATACAATTAGCAAGAAAGTCATCGTCCATTCTGTTAAGAAGTTCCTTCTTCACATGTTTCGTTGCTGAAAATACTCGCTCAGTAGTCGCGCTAGAAACAGGTAAAGTCAGCACAAGACGAATTAGTTTAGTAACCATAATATAAGTCTCCGACCTTCTACTCTCATGTAACTGTTGACATAACTCAACAAGTGTAGATACTTGAAATCGAGATTCAGCCTTCATATCTAGCTCATAATGTCGCAATTCATATTCCAAAGTACGAATATCTTGCTGAGTAAAATCTGCAGGATAGAATTTCTCAGCAAGTTGATGCAGGAGGATCCGAGTAGAGTAATGCTGATTTGTCAAACAGCACAATGATAGCGCTGAGATACCATGAGATGGCGGATCGGTGTAAAGATGGAAATTGAATAGTAATTATTTCCT